CATGTAAGTGCACACGTGTGTGTGTCCACTGTACCCATCATTTGAGTTTGTGCATGCATAAAAACTCACTATTTGTGATTCTCAGCAGTGTGAGATGGGGCTAAAGTTTTGACTGAAAGTTGGCGAGTACTACTATGTCCCAAGTACTAGAGTCAAAAGATGCGGGGAATCCATACGCGTGACCAGATAACTCAAAAGGAGATTGTGTCTTTAGGATTAGTGTTCGTAGGACCTTCAGCATGGCAAAGCAATGGCAGCCTCAGGAAGGCAAGGCCCTTGTTGAGCGGTCTCCCCCTGGGGATGGCTGAGCTATGACGGCTGAGCGAGGATAAAGGCAGGATATGAGTGAGTCAGAAAAAGGGCGAGGTATGTGATGGGGGTTAGGGGAGACTTTTATAGTCAGCGATGACAAGTCTTTCTCAAATAGCAGCTGTTCGGTTGTAACTTGGAAATCACCAATGGCATAGCTGCAGGTATCCTGAGGTGCCTCTGCTCAGGGCCTCCCCTAGGGACTCCCTTCAGATCCTGTGCCTGTGTCCTAGCTCAACACCCCAGGCTGCAGGGAAGTATTTGGGATTCTACTTCAATAATGGCTGATACTTTTTTTTTTTTGAAAGAATGCATATTACAGATACCTTCCCTTATCCTCAGGTTTATTTTTACAGTTTTAGTTGCCCACAGCTAACTGTGTTCCAAAAATATTAAAAAACATTCTAGAAATAAACAATTTGTCAGTTTTAAGTTGCACGCTGGTCTCAGTGTAACAAAATCAGTATTGTGACAAAATGTTCCATTCCATCCCCTTTGTCCATTATATCTGTGCTGTACCTACTACCTTTTGGTCACTTAGTAGCCAACTCAGTGATGAGATCAGCCATCATGATATTGTAGTGCTTGTATTCAGGTAACCTTAATTTACTTAATATAGTCCCAAAGCGCAAGAGTAGTGATGCTTAATTATTATAGTTGTTCTGATTTATTATTATTGATGGTAATCTTCTCCTGTGCCTAAATTATAAATTAAACTTTATCATTGATACATTATGTGTGGTTTTCAAGTGTCCACTGGGTACTGGAATATATTCCCCGTGGGTAGAGGTGGGGACTACTGTACTTTTTGTCACTTGCCTAAAGGTGGAATGAAAACCATTGCTAGTAAAAGGTGGAGATTTATCTGATGATTAGACTACGCTACTGTATATACAGTATTTATTGTCAGGGGAGTGTACAAGTGTGGGTGGCTGCTTCTGGGATTTTTCCTATGAATAATGTTTATGAACTTCTCCATCTAGCTCCGTTGAGGGCCAAAGACTGGGATACAGGTCTGATCAATGACTTGGAAGTAAATTCCTAAACCCTACAGTGTCGCTGTGATTCCTGTTAAGAAATGGTGAGAATTACGAGGAATTGCTTCTGAATTGTGTTGGGCTGTTGGCATAGTGAAGAGAACACAGGATTGGTTTAGGAAGGAAATAAACAAGGAAGGAGAAGGAAGAAAATGAACTATGTTAGAAACCTCACACTCTGCTTTGAAATATGTGACAGCCATTAGAAGAGGAACAGATGGAGAACGAGGAAAGGAAGGTATTGAGCACCTATTGTGTAGTAGTGAGTTTGCCAAAACTTTTGTTTTTTTTTTGGTACTGGGGATTGAACTCGGGTCCTTGCGCTTGCAAGGCTGGCCACCGAACCACTGAGCTAGATCCCCGGCCTCCTGCCAAAACTTTTCTACAAATGCCAAAGCACTGAATTCATCTGGATTCAAATTATGGCTCCACCACCTGTTAGTCTCATAGTGTTAGGTGAACTATTTGAACTGTTCTTACTCTAGTTTCTTCTCTGATTAACTGAGAAAAATAACACTCACCTCTCAAGCTAGTTGTGAGTGTTATGTAAAATGATGTAGACAAATGCATTTGTGTGTGTGTGTATGTGTAAGACACACTAAAACTTTAAAGCCTCTTTGTTATTTTCTTCTGTTTCATCCTACCTTTTTAGCTCCGGGGGAACAATATGTAGCAGGTTTTTGCTTATCTGGTTCTAGCTGGCAGAATGTTTTTTCTCATGGGCAGGTTCAAACTCATGAACAGAAGCAATTTTCTTTCTTTTGTACTTGATATAGAAAGTAAATTAAAAATTCCTAAAAGCATTCTATTCTTTTATCCTAACTCTCTCCTACACAAATGGCACCTTACTGCACAGAACAGAATAATGAAAAATGCCATAGGATTTTAGCAAATAGGACTAAAGGGAAAGATGCAGGTGCCCAGTGGCCATAGCTTTTCATGCTGTTTTTTTTTTCTTCCTAGAAAGGGAGTAAGTTAGTGTAGAAGGATACCAGGTATTGATATCCTACAGACTTAGGCTTGGGTTCCTGACATCCCTAGTCATTTGTTAGATGTGTGATCTTTGGTCAGTAACTAAAACTCTCAGAATCACACATTTCTCATCTTCAAAATCAATTTAATAACATCATGCTACAGAGTTATTGTAAAATCCAGAGATAACATGTCTGGAGACTTCATAGGCGCTCAATCGATACTCCTTTGCCATTTTCACACATGTGTGATTTTATATGTGGTACTGTGTCTGGCTTCTTGGGCAGCCTAGGTGACTTAGACATCACATTTCATAGGGACTGAAACTCGGGCTAGTCTCTCACTGTCCATCCCTTACAACTCTGTGATAATATCATGTTTATCATTCCAGAAAGAACAAGCTAACTAGGAATCTGTTGAACAAATGCACTTTGGGTTCAACTAGATCATACTTGGGTTCTTTTGTGGAGGTTTACTTTTGCACAAGAGGGCTCTGGAAGTTGGGAGTCTTTCTGTCTTCAGAGAAATGCAGAATTCTTGATAGTGTCTCAGGTAAGTAGGACCGATGTTTCCTCTATCCCAGTGTAGGATGGCTGGGTAACATCTGGATCAATGGACTCCTTGTTCCTGCAGAATGGGGCTCAGTCTGCATTCTCTGTGTCCAGACCCTCTGATTCTCTTTCTACTTCCGTTTCACTGAATCTCTGGGGTATATGTTATTGCGATAAATTAAGAGGCAGCAAATGTGTCTTTTTTGATTTATTCCATCCTTCTTTGTCTATATCTCGAAATCCTCCAGTTCTACAAAAAAGATCAGTGCTTTGACAATGGAGCTCTTTTGATGGCACCAAGTCTTAACGAACCCAGATCCTCACTCTCTTTGACACAGATATGGCGAACTTAATGTTTTGGTTTTTTTTTTAACTTAACGTTTTTTAAATAAAGATTTTTCGATATAAGGACCTGCCTTTGTACTTAGTTGTTGGTTGGCAGTGATTTATAAAATTTAGATGCAGAGATGTGATCTCTAATTATGTATTTGCTTACTTCTTTTCCAGCCTTCTGAGTCTCACCATTTGGAAATGAGTGAAACAGTATTAGTGAAGCTAACAGTTAGATGATTTTACTTTTTTCTTTTAGGAAGCATCAAATCTATGACACAGAGCCATTGTGGTCATTGGGGCAGAGGGTTTGCACCAAGGGCAATGTGAGAATGTACCTCATAATGTTGTCAGGATTAAAGGAGTCAATACATGTAGAGTACGCAGAATAGTGCCTAGCACAGCCTGGGAGCTATATAATATTATACAGTCCCTTCCCAGGCAGGGTCTGCATTGGCCCAGAGCAAGTCACTCTCCAAGTATTATCACAGGCTTTACTTCAAAATAGATCCAGAAAGAAGCCAGTCATCAAAGGCCACACAGTATACATTGCCATTACGTGGAATGTCTAGAACTGATAAGTCTACAAAAACAGAAAGGTTTTCTTAGGGTTGGAAGTAGAGGGAACACTAGGGTGTGGTAGCTCAACAGTGTGGAGTTTCTTTTCGGGGTGGCGAAGTTGTGATAGCTGCACAACTTTGTATGTACACCAAGACCCGTTAAATTGTACACTTTCCATGGGTGAATGGTAAGTTGTGTGAACTGCATCTTGACACATCTGTTGAAATGTACACCCAGAATTCTCCCATTGCTCAGCATCACAGTCAGGCTTGTCCAAGTGACTGACAGTGTGTTGTGGATTATTGCTGTCACCTCCTGCATGGTTTGCTTGGTTCCCCCAGTCCCTCCGCAGAGTTCATTCTCCACAGAGCATCATAATGATCTTTAAATGAAAAGCAGACCATGGCACTCATCTGGCTAAGCTGCTCACTGCTTTCCCTTCGCATTCAGTCATCAAAGGGAAACATCTTGGCGTGGCCTCAAGGTCCTGCACCATCTGGTCCCAGTGACTTCCTCAGCTATCACTCCCCCATGTGCTACTTTGCTTTGGCCACATTAGCCTGCTTGTTCTCCCAATACGTCAGTCTCATTCCTGGCTGCCTCAGATCTTTCACTCCAGCCAGAATTTGACTCCCACATCTTCCCGTGGCTCATTTCTGTAGGCTCATCTAGGACTTAAGTGAAATATCACCACATCTGAGAGGCTTCCCTTTCCTAACCATATTTAGAATAATACCCTCCCTATCAATCTAGCTGCTCACTTACTGTATCTTCTTCATAGGATTTATTATTTTAGTTTTTATTTTAATTTATCTATTGACTTGCTTATTGGAAGTCTCCTCCATTCATACCTGGGTTCTATGACAATAGCAAGTTTGTCTTATTCAACTATTTGTTGAATAAATGAGCGAAGACAGACACTGACTGGCATACAAAGACACAAACACACATCCACTCATTCTTTTTCTGTGCATACCTCCTATTCTGTACCATCATTTGGCATCTCACAGGTTTGAAAGCTTGACCAAAATTCTTAGTAGGAAGTTCCTTGATGGGGTCCTTTTTTAATATTATTTAGCATATTCTAATCAGAATGCAGTTAAATGGTTAGACTGATAAACATGCTTGCTCTTTGTGTGAAGTCCATGAGAACAAATAAAGAATTTCAGAGCCTGTGTTTAGTCAGCCATCCCTGCCCCAAAGGTCTAGTTTGAATGCTGCTATTCTCAGGTTTACTTACAGTGTGGACTTTCTCGGGCTCCTGTCTTCAGAAGAATCTTTGCGATGGGCACATTGTTGGTCATGATGGCAATATCCAGAGGCGTCAGCCCCTCACTGTTAGGTGTGTTGAGGTCTAGCTCTTCTGGTGTGTACTGGTCCAGGAGGAGCTGCACAGCGTCCATGTCCTGCTGCTCAACTGCCTCAAACATGGCTTCATTGCCCTGGAAGTTCTGGAAGTGAAGAGCAAGCAGAATTAGCACAGTTTCCTAGACCATTGTGTCTTTAAGGAGTAACTGTTCTGAATTTTAGAGATTGCTTTAGGGACTGCAGACCCACTTGTAGATGGGTAATTGTACAGCTACAATGTACTACAAGGCCTCCCACATAAAAACTGCTGAACCTACTTTCCACACTTTCTAATGGTCGTTGAACAAATAATTTAGATGCACTAAGACAACACAGTACTTTACAGCAAGGCAAATCTTAGGTAAGTGCCAAAAGCAGAACAGATGATGTTAGTATGCCAACTAGTTTGGTGCTGAGAGTGCACGTTCTCTATTTCTCTCAAACCTAACCCATTCCTGTCAGTCCCTAGGTGTTATCATCCTTGATCTTTATCATGGCAATGATCTATTTACTGCCAGTCTTGGGCTTTTCCAGCCCAGGCACTATACTGGTACGAGAGTATTCTTCCTATAGAATATAAGTTGCATGCTACATCAGTATTTATGGGTCTCATAGCTCCCCACTGCCTGCAGGTGGATGCCCATGTTTCTAGATCCCTTGGTGTTCTTTTTTTTTTTTTTTTTTTTTTTTTTTTTTTTGGTACCGGGGATTGAACTCGGGTCCTTGTGCTTGCAAGGCAGGCCACCGAACCACTGAGCTAAATCCCCGGTGATCCCTTGGTGTTCTAATACCACACTTTCTTTTCCCAGAACCCCAGCCATTGCATACCTGGCATTTGTGAGCTCAAGTGTCAGAGTTCAAGGGAAATTTCAGTGGCTTGTGGCTAATTGTTTTGGGGGCTCTGAAGGGCTAGAAGTTGAATATTTATGAGATATGTATTACTCATAGGAAAAATAGCTATGGACAATATGGTTCTTTTGGAAAGTTTTTTTTTTTAAAGGATTAGCAACAAAGGAGGGTTTGGTCTTTAAAAATGCTGAAATATCATTGACCTTGACCTCATATAGTGGTCACCTGACTAGCAGAAGGGAAATATTTAGTGACCCAATTTTTAGGCACATAAGTTTTATTTTTAGTCTCATCCAAAACTGATTTTCTCTGTCAGAAACTGTTGGTTGGCTTTAGCTAAGTACACATCACAAAACTGGAGCTTGAGGAAAACGTGAGGTGATTATGCAAATGCTTGTTTTGACAGTGTGGACCCAGGGGATGAAGCTATTTTGGTGTGCAGTTTTCCTTGCTGCAAGACAATCTGCTGAATGGAAAAGTGTTTTGTCCACATGCCACTAAACTGAAAGTCCTCTGATGATCAGGCAACTTAGTCACAGCCAAGCCCTCCCAGCAGATGAATTTGAAATGAGAATATATATTAGAAAGCAAATGAGTTTAAAGTTAAAATACTACCCTGTCCATACCTGTCCAAAGTGAGCATTTGGTTTTGACTCTTGGTATTTCTAATTTCTCATGTGCCTTATTTAATCTCACTCTTAAGTCGTTTCCTCCTCCATGCTTTTGCTGGGAAACTCTAGCTTCCTTCTATCTGGAAAGTCTAGGATTCACTTGTTTTAAGATCAGACAAATGGAGTCATTACCCCCTGCAAAATACCCGTGCTGAGCATATTTACCTTATGCCCTTAGCCTTTACTGAGGGCTAGGACGGAAGACTTTACGAGAACATCTGTAATATCACCAGTATGACTCTTACGCACCAGTCCCTCCTTTGGATTTTGAGGCAGGGTGTTGCTATGCCATGGAAGCTGGCTTGAACTTGCTATGGAGCCCCGCCTGCCTCCAACTCACAGTTCTCCTCTCTCAGCCTCTGGATTGCTGGGCTCACAGGTGTGTGCCACAATGCTCAGCTTCTTTATGCCATGCTGTCTGCACAGTTCACTATGGCATCCGTAGAGGTCAAGCGATTTAGCCTAAGGAAAATGTTCATTTCTTCTGATAGACTACTAGACTTTCAAATGTTTGCTAATGAAATGCTGTTACAAATTGTGTTTCCTTTTCTGCTTTGACTGCCTGGGACCTTAAAGATAAATGTAATGATAAACTCCAGGCACTGTATTTACCTAGGTTTTTGATAAGCTTGTTCCTCTTCTCAGTCCCTGTATGTTTTCTTCTTATGCTCTTGTTTTCTCTCCCTCATCATTATACAGTAGAAAAGCATTAATTGCCTAGATTTGGTTTTGAATGCCATTGGAAAGCATATGGAGTTCACAGTAGAAATAATAAAATAATATTAATTTTTTATTCGAATAAACACTGGAGGTCTCAGAAAATCTGAGATTCCATATTTGCCCGACTGCTGCTTTTTGAGATTGGTTTCTTTAGTCTAGGAGTAAAAAAGAAGCTACAGGAAAGGAAAGGGGAACATCTCACCATCACTCAAACTTTGTCTAACATCATAGATACATGTAGTTCCTGCCTTGCTGGATTTTATTTCAGCATTTATAAAACTGTAAAAACATTAGCTTCAGAAAGAAATGTGAATTATCGTGGAATCTTCAAACAAAACTGAACAAATCAAACTGACACAGAAGAAAAAGAGCTTTGTTACCACCGAGGTCTTTCTGAGACTCAGCCGATCAGTTCTTGTTCTAAAATAGGCCTCGTCAAAGGAAGAGTGGCTCCCCTTCAGTTTCTCAGAGAGATTCCTGTACAGGCGTTTGGCAGCATTGGGAGACGATGGGGCACTGTGCTTTTTTGACTGAGAAAGATGTAAATTCTGCATTTGTTGGGTCATTTTCACACGGCAGTTCCTAAGAAGAAGAAAATCTAATGGATCATTTACAATAGAATTGTAAATTGACAAAGAATTATATCATCTCCAGTAACTCCTGGAATCCTCATATAATGTTATAATATGATGTTATAGCTGGAAGAAAGGCTCTCAGAGATGAGCCTACGTAGCTCTTCATTTCAAACTATGAAAACTGAAACCCAGGGTAAAGAAGTAGCTTGTTGAGGTCACAGGCTTAGTTGGTGACAGGAATGAAATGACAGCCTCCATCTCCTGTATGTATGTTTGTTTCCCTGAAGATGGGTGTATGATATGAAGCTCAGCCCAGAGTCTTTTGGTCTCTCAGCCAGTTGAGGATGTGTCTCAATTCTGTAGCCTGAAGGCAGTGTACTTATTCTTGGGGATATGGAAGTGGGGCTTTTCTATTTGCTTTGTCCCAGATGTTATCTGTAAGGCAGTGTGATTGCTCCCTGTACACCCCTTCTCTTAGTGGTATCACTCAAACTCTGATGTTGTGTTCATTTGGTCAATTCTCCCAGGGTGCAGAGGCTTGGTGGATTTTTATGTGTAGGAGCATTCCTGCTCATCCCAGATATCCTGGGTAGGTGTCCTCCAGGGAACCCTTGACTGCTATTCTCCAAGTAGTATTTGAATGTTCCTAAAAATCTCTAATCTCTAACAGCCCCCCACCCTCACCACAATCACACCTGAAGTCAGTTTCCAGATCAGCCATGACATTTAAAAAGCTACCCAACTTTAGTTTGGTTATTGCTATTGGAACACGAATGCTATCAAGGCTGTGGCTTCCTGGTGTGTGTGTGTTGTGTGTGTGTGTGTGTGTGTGTGTGTGTGTGTGTGTGTGTGTGTGTATGTGTGTGTGTGTGTGTGTTGATGGAGAAATGCATGAATGTCACTAGCCATGGCACTTACATGTGAAATGTTTTCATGTTTGCTAAAGCCTCCAGGGCACAGGACCCAGAGCTCTCTGGAGTATGCTACTGCCTTCCTACCATTCCTATTATTTTTGTTTGTTTGTTTGAGACAGGGCTTGCTCTGTAATTCAGGCTGGCTTTGAATTCACTGTATAATCCAGGCTGTTCTCCAACTCATGGCAGTCTTCCTGCCTCAGCTTCCTGAGTACTGGAATTAAAAGTGTGCACCATCATTCCCAGCTTCCCACTGTATTTGTGTTTGTCTTTCATTTGTAATCCTGCCATTGCTACTTATCTGTTCCCTTTAGGTCATCTTGAGGATTTTGCTTTTTTACAACTTTATGGATCTCAGAATATAGAACCTCTTTTATTGATGAAACTTAACAGAATTGATTTTAAAAATTTTCCATTTTCTGCAAAATAGATTTATATAGAAGTGCTTATCTCATATCCTACTGTACTCCATGCTACATTTCGGTCTGTCTGACCTCTATGGAGTGTTTATTTACTACTTCAATATTTTTTTTACCTGTGGATCTTTATATGTATTATTTTCTATGTACTAGAATTTATTTCTGATTTCAGTACCTAGGAAATGATTATTGATCCTTAAAGTTGCTACTCAAGTAATTTCTGAGACCCTCAGTGAAATTTATATATTTCTTTATTCATTTAGCGTATACAATATTCATTCATTTTAGCATATACAGTGGATCCTCGACGTATAAACCCAATTTGTTTCTGAGAACTGGTTGTAACTCAAGTTGGTCAATTGCCTTCAGAATCTCTCTCCTGTGTAATTTTAGGCCACACTTTCTTCCAGGCAGATCTCAGAGAGACATCTCAGAGAGTTCTTAGAGAGACATTGGCCCAGGATTTCTCAATTGACTGCACACGGGAAAGATGTTGAAATGTTCCTTGCAGAACTCTGTAAGAGTTAAATCTGTATCTGAGACCATCTGGATGCACAAATGTCCAGCATTTGGGTCATAACTCAAGACTTTGTTCATAAATTAAAGCTAAAATTTTGGTCATATCCCAATTATTCATGTCAGGCTGGTTGTAATTCAAGTACAATAAATGTCTTACTGTAATACAGTTGTTCGGCTCCCTGGATTCCAGCTAGTCTATATTCTCTTCAAGAGCAAAGACTGCCAAATCTTACTTTTTATATTGTCTTTTCCTGAAATGCACCTACCTCAGGTAGAAGTAGTATAAGACAGGTTAGGATATAAATTCCTATTCTTTCCCCTACTAATTATGGGCTTTTGGACAAATTATTGAATCTGTGTTTCCTCTTTCTTTTTATAAAATGGGGATAATAAAAGTATCTTTATATTATTGTTGTAAAAATGTGATGTAATAATGCATGTGAAGTATGTAGTATATAGGAAGACTCGCAGTAGCTAATGTTTTTGTTATGGAAGGTCCTCAATAAATACATTAGAATAAGTGAGTGCATATAAGAGAGTCTGTTACTTATAATATCAGAGGAATAGCTGGAAATTTTATTTTTTCATCATGTTTCTCAAGTAGGTTTTATGTTCGTTATCATCCCACCTTTGATTTGCTTTCACTTCAATAAATAGAGATCCACCTTGTTAAATGACCATAGTCACTTTAAGTCTTGCTTACAACTTCCTCCAAGACAGAAAGACTTCCTAATTTTTCCTAAGGTGGTCAGACTAATCAGTGTTGGTCATACTTATTAGGCTGTGTCCCGGCTTAGCTAAGTGAACATGTTTAAATTTGAAAGGATGATGCAAGGCATTATCTAACTGTGTATGTATAGGTGGGTATGTTTTATAACCTTTATTAATCTTTTAATTTTCATAGAAGCAGAAATGGAAAGGGCAGGTGATTTCCTTTCCTTTCATCTATGAATTCTTTATCTTTGGTTGAATAACAACTACACAGTTTCATCTAATTTGCTTCTTTCTATGTCCGCACAAATTCCAGATTCATAGGCAAGCTGGCTCACATGGGAATTGCCTTAACTTCTTTCTTTCTGCCTTCTGTCTCTAGCCTTTTTGCTCAGCATTAATGCCCCAGTTCAAGCCATCTGTCTTGTCCACATCATTATCATTCCCAAAATAACTCTACCTTCTTTTGTATCTCCCACAATGCCCAGGAGTCCAGTAAATACATTCTTGTCGATTGATCAAATTCCAGTGACTTGCCCTCTAACTGATGACACCTACTCACATGGCCCCTTTTGTCTTTGCTCATCTCCCATCTGTTCCCTTCCATCAGCTTAGGTTGACTTTGTCTCTTTGACTTCCTTCTCACACTCCCCCAGCTGTCTCTTTCTTCCAGGCTATTCTTTAGCGTGTTTTCAGTCTTCTAACTTCCATCCACCATTATGTTTTTTCTTCTTTACATTTAAAAATTTGGTCAGATGAAAGAGTGCCAGAAAGTCAGTTTTATGTGATTTACTTTTAGAAACATGAATGCCTCTCCCAACTAACTATGCTCTTAATTTTTTACTCTTGTGGAAAGGGATAAGCCCTAGAAAATCATTATAGTTTTAGCTTTGGGTTTGAATTTTGATGTTGTTATATACAATTTGTGTGATTTTAGGCACCTTATTTAAATTCTCTGAGTTTATTTAGTCATATATAAGTGGATAATAACAATATATTTGTGTAGACTTGTGAAGATTAATTAATCGACAAATGAAATTTACTATCTCTTTGGTGCATTGTAGTCACCGGTAAATAGCAGCATTTATTGGAAGCACCAGATCTTTCCAAAATAGAGCCACAAAAATGTATTGTAAAGATGCAATTTTCTTACTTGTTTTAAATATTGTCTTTAAATCTGATCTTACGTAATTTTTATACTAGTCTTTATTTTGATAGAAAAATTCAAGCTTAAATATTTTGGTATGTGTATTTACAGTAACAGTAAAATAGAAAATAAGACTTCAGGTTATTTATTAGAGAGCAGTGTGGAACAAAGATAAACTTAAAAATAATTGAAAAATTTAAAAAAGAATTTAAAATAAAGGAGGGTGAAGATTAAACATATTTGTGAGCAAAATATATTTAAAAGTTTACTTTTCCTAATAGAAAACAAAGGTTCTTCAATTGGGACTTTTAAAAAGTCATTTACACATGGTATACCTAAATAAACATTTCACATAAACTTTAAAAATAAAAGAATAGGACATCAGTGGTAAGGGCAAAGAAAAGACATTCAAAAATCTTTTCTTCCATAACACCAATGAGAAAACTAGTAAAAGTTATTTGAATTAATGTATTCAGAATCTTTAAAATGAAGCAAAGGCTTGGAGCAATCAAAGAAATGTTTATTGAAGAAAAAGGGCTGCATTCAGTAAGAATGGCAAGTTTTGTGGCATTTCATTTTGCTCTATGTCCATCTTCTGCAGTTCTCTGATAGCCTTAAAAACCAGCAGTCCACATTCATGTTTAAAACTGTAGCCTTCCAGCCATGGGAGGGGGAGAATAAGATTGGGACTCCTTCAAAACCCCATTTCTAGAGAACTGTCATTGTTTGACTTGTCTACTGCTTCCTGGAAAGACCCCACTGAAAAGGCTTATGCTTATTCTATCTGACCTGGAATCCACTAAGGACAAATTACGCCTAGGTGATTGTCAAAAAACAAATATCAAAAAAATGTTTAACAGTTGTTTAAAATTTTTCAAAAGCTGGGGAATGAGATATTCATAGAGGGTTTTGAAGAACTCTGACATGTTCCTGGAAATATAGCAGGTCACATCTATGCCCAGGGCTAAGAATGTGTGAAAAAAAAAACCTGGGAAAGTCCTTAGCTCCCATCTTTGTCTGTATTTAAGGCTCTGTGCAAGCAGGAAGTGAAGACTAAGGCAGAAGTCTCAATCTCCTGGCCAAGTGTTAAAAGTTTTTCCTAACACACGAACAACCTCTGTATATGCGAGGCTCTAGGTATAAAAGGAAATCTCTGTTCATCATTCTCTGAACACTAAGATAACCAGGCAGAGACTTCAGTGGCCACATATAAGAAAAAAATAGACTTTACAGATTTAGTTCTAAAAAATCATTAGGCAACAAAACAACACTAGGGAAGAAAGGTAATCTGATTTTC